AGCCAACGGTTATGATGTCTCTATGAGTGCTTTACTTCGTTGTTAAACAATTATCGTACGCTCAAAACGCAAAAGCTATTTGAATAGAGTGATCCATTTATTGCGCTAGTCGTTTACAGACGCAATGAAAATAATGGAAACATCAGGAATACACGTGAATACGGCCTAAGAAAAATTATAGGATACGGTAATGAGTCAAAAAGAGCCAAGGTAACGCTAAAACCACATCAGCACACCCTATTAACCACAAATCCTCAAAAAGAGCAATTCCACAAAGGTTTTCTCAAAGCAGATTGCATCTATAATTGTTCACGACACCAAGATAAAAGAGATTTGTCTTTTTTCATTCCACTTTCTAGAAGACTTAGCATCAGTGGAAGTAAAAAGATGAAGGGCCGAAATACTGACTTGGGTGCTATCACGTTCCTCTCAAACGATCTGATTCATTTGATGGTCAGGATCATCCTCGTGCATCAGCCAAAAAGTGTTCAGTACTCCTTTGCCCTGTAACAATACCCGTAAAAGGATTGAAGGTTAGTAGTGCTTAACAAGAAGTCGATTTCACAGCAAAAAAAGTGGAAAAAGGTGTTGTTTTTATTGCTAGAGATGGTATTTATTGTCACTTAAATTCTGACCAAAGCCTACTTTTATGAGAACCTCTCCGCGAGGCTCCGTCCTGAATTCGGGGTACATCTTTTCAAGAAGTTTTGCTGCTTGTTCAGACATATGTATCTTCCCAGCTAAACAGATATCTGTTATTTGTATCCTAACTGTTATTTCTATTCTTGTAATTGAATAGTTTTCTAATGTAAATTAAACGAGAAGCTGTAACCACTCAGCAGCAGATTTCACTTGACTGCATGTCGCGTAACCAGAAGAATTAACAGCAAAAGTCTCTTTTTTTCGAAAAGAGATGTACACAGAAGTCGAAATTACGTTTTCCATTGCTCTCCATTCTGCTTGCAGTGTTCACAGTATCGCCGAACAAACAATATTTCGGCATAGCAAGACCAACTACACCCGCCACGCATGGACCTGCAGAAGGAAAATAAAGACATTATTATCCTTCAGTTCTATAAGCTTGAGTTATCGCTCAAATAAGAAAATCTCCTTTATGTTAAGTTCTTAATAAAATGGGTACGTGTGCATTACCTGTGTGAACACCAATGCGGATCATGACCCTATACGATGGCATGTGTGAAACGCGGAAGTCT